AAGAATTCCACCAAATTAGTTAAGCATGACCTACCCTTCATGAACCCATGCTGGGTGTTCCCAATGGGACAATTTATATCCAGATGTCTTGCTATTTCTTCCTTAATGATAGATTCAAGCATTTTCCCCACTACCGAAGTTAAGCTAACTGGCCTATGGTTATCTGCTTTTTGTCTACTTCCTTTTTTAAACAATGGCGTCACATTGGCTGTTTTCCAATCTGCGGGAACCACCCCAGAGTCCAGTGAATTTTGGTAAATAATTACTAGTGCATTTGCTATTTCCCCCATCACCTCTTTTAGTACCCTGGGATGCATTTCATCAGGGCCAGGACAGTTGTCTACCTTTAGCCCCATTAGCTTGCCCAATACTGCCTCCTTAGTGATAATGATAGTTTCTAGGTCCTCACCTGCTATAACCTTCTTGCCATTAGTTTTCGGCATGTTATTTGTGTCTTCCACTGTGAAGACCGACACGAAATAATTGTTTAATGTCTCGGCTATTTCCTCATTCCCAGTTATTAAATTGGCCTTCTCATCCTCTAAAGGACCAATGTTTACCTTCGCCACTCTTTTACGATTTACATATTTATAGAAACTTTTGCAGCCTGTTTTTATATTCTGAGCTAGTTTACTCTCATAATCTATCTTACTTTTCTTTATAACTTTTTTTGTGGCTTTCTGTTGGCCTTTAAAGATTTCCCAGTCTACTAGTTTCCCACTACTCTTTGCTTTTTTGTATGTGTTTTTTTTCAATCTGATACTTTCCTTTATTTCCTTAGACATCCATGGCTGACTCTCTCTTTTCCTACAGTTCTTCCTTATCACTGGAATATACTTCTGCTGAGCACTGTGAAAAATTGTTTTGAAAGTTCCTCAATTGACCCCATGAAGTTTTTGCTCCCATTCTACCTGAGCTAACTCCTTCCTCGTTCCTTCATAGTCTCCTTTGTTTAAGCACAGGACATAGGTACTGGATTTAACCTTCTCACGATCCATCAGTATTTTAAATTCGACCATACTGTGATCGCTCCTTCTGAGAGGATCCCTAACTGTGAGATCATTAATTATTCCTGTCTCATTACACAGGACTAGATCTAGGATAGCTTGCTCCCTCGTAGGTTCCATTACATATTGTTCAAGGAAATTATCGTGGATGTATTCTATGAACCCCTCCTCAAGGCTGCCATGACCAACCTGGTTTGACCAATCGATATATAGATTAAAATCCTCCATGATAATTGCTGTACCATTTTTACATGCATTAGCTATTTCTATGTTTATTGCCTGCCCCACCACGATGTCCTTATTTGGTGGCCTATAGACCACACCTATCAGTGACTTCTTCTCCCTGCTATTCCTAATTTCCACCCAAATGGATTCAATGTTTTGTTCAGTAGAACCTATATCATCTCTCACTACCGCCCTGATATCATCCTTAAAAATCAGAGCAACACCACCTCCCTTACCTTCCTGTCTGTCCTTCCGAACAGTTTGATACCCCTGGATATTTAACTCCCAGTCATGACCATCCTGTAACCAAGTCTCTGCAATGGCCACTAAATCATACCCATTTGCCATGATTTGCACCGTCAACTCATCCACCTTGTTTCGAATGCTCCGAGCATTCAGATAAAGTGCCCTTATGCCAGTTTTTGCACCTTCTTTTTGGGTCCTATTACCTCCATTACTAACAGCTCTTGAGTACCTTCCCTTTAACTTTATTCCTAATTTTCAATGGAGTTGAAGCTTCCTCGTCACCTGCTAACCTGCTGCTTTGTCTTACATTAATTGTTTTTCTCCCTCTTCGCTCACTTCTCCCTTTGCCCCTACTTACTAGTTTAAAGTCCTATTAACCACCCTATTTACCCTTTTTGCCAGAACACTGGACCCGGCCCTGTTCAGCTGGAGTCCATCCCAGTGATATAGATCCCTCCTGTCCCAGAACTGACATTTCATGGCACTGCAGGGGCTGGTACGTATCATCACCCATCAAAAAATTACATTTTTTTATAATTTAAAGTTAAGCAACTTACTTTGAAATAGTATTGTCCCTTAAAGGCTGTCAACCCTAATTTGATTTGATCTGACTCTTTAGCTTATTTGAAATAACAGACACAAAAGCAACAACATTAAGGTTTTCTCATAATTACTTCAGAAAATTGGCAGTAAAACACAAGAGTGACAGATAAGGGAACAGGGCAAATAGGTGGCAAATGCAATTCAATGTATGGAAGGTTGAATGAGTCAATAAAGAGATCTAATTTCCATTCCTCTAAACTCCAGAGACTATAGGCCTAAACTTCTTAATCATTGTTCATATGACAAACCCCTTATCTCTGGATCTCGTGAACCTCCTCTGAACTGTCTCCAGTAAAACTACATACCTCCTCAAGTAAGGGAACCAAAATTGTATGCAATACTCCAGGTGCAGTCTCACTAATGCCTTGTACAATTGCAGCAACACTTCCCTAACTCTTATATTCTATTTCTTTAGCAAGTTGAAAGACATCTATTGAGCCTTTAGACCAGTAAGAATTCATGATTATGCATCAGTCCACAAAGCAGGACAATTATTGGGATTGATTAAAAGCCTTTTCGAATCTCATTCACTCAGAAGGAGAAACTGTTTGGTAATAGCTGAGCTTCAGCTGACCAATTTATACGTTGTAAATCTGAGTATGCCACTTTGAAGTCATTGGTGGCATTTTGAAATGAAACCTATTTAAGTGTGCGCCAATTAAACATTTTATTACATTCAAATGCCATCCATTTACCAGCCTATTCTGTCAGCGAGTAATGAGAGAAATTTACTTCAAGTGTATAATTTAACAATCCCTCACCTCCCTTGCGAATCAGTGCGTTTGAACTATAGGGCAGACTATGCAAACAGCCCACATCATTTAGCCCACTTCAAACCGAGCTAAAAGCCAATATCATCAACATTATGACTCGGCATCTATTTGTGCTGCCACCACAGCTTATTCTCATGTTCTGTTCCTTTCAAGTATCCACTCACAGTGAGTGCTGAACAATCTCTAACATATTCAGTTAACTCTAGACAATCTATTGTCGAGAGGGGGAGCAACACAAGCTGATGTTGAGATTTGAGTAAAATTGACATGTAGACACAAAATTTACATCTAGTTTACCACAAAACTGGGAAAATCACTCAGTTACACAACAGCTGTGGCTTGTTGGCACTAGCAGTGTTCACCAACATAATGAAGGCTGCACAACACTGGGGTACAGTACTGGTGGGGACAGGTCTATCACTGTATAACACTGGTGTACAGTACCGGTGGGGACAGGTTGTCACTGTATAACACTGGGGTACAGTACTGGTGGAGACAGGTCTGTCACTGTATAACACTGGGATATAGTACTGGTGGGGACAGGTTTGTCTCCGTATATCACTGGGGTACAGTACCGGTGGGGACAGGTCTGTCACTATATAACAATGGGGTACAGTACC